AGTGGCACCGATATACAGCCCCGTTCTAAGAGACTCATAAGAAGCTCGCCAAAGGCGACACGCCGCGTTTTTGTTGAAGTTATCGTCTCTAGCGCCGACCAGTGTTTATAGACTTCATCGGTGTTGCTGTTACGACGCTTTAGGTCTTAGCCGGTGTTGTTCCCCCGGGTACGATTCTAAAGTGACGTGACAGTCATTAATGCACAAACGAGCTCGGCTCGGTTTACGAGAGCTACCAACGAAAGATAAGTTCTGAAAGACGTAGCGAAGAAGCTTCTCTAACTAGCAGGAAAATTGACCGGCCGATCGGACGTCTTCGTATCTTTGCCGGACGGTTAGCATCTTATTAATATTGATGGACCAACTGCGCCAAGATTAACATGCCAAGGGACTGCGGTCTTCCTTGCCAGCCCTATAGTCACGGCTAGGTCGCGTGTTCCGTTTGGTGATTTCGTGTAAATTCTAATTTCGATAATGATTCGATCGTCAGAAACACAAGTTGAATTATGGTTACTAGTTGATCGATGTTCGCGACGCTTATGCCGATGTAATGGTAGCTGCTATTATGTGGTAGAGCTAAATTTCAATGCCTGGCGCAGTGCGGACTGACTGATAGTCCCTTGAATTATAGCTGAAACGATATCTGTGTGAATCATGTATTTTACATTTCTTTTTTATTGGAAATAAACTATAGTAAATCGTATAATTGTACAGATATTTCGTGTAATTGTATGGTTGTCACTTATATATGAAAGTAAAAATATAGATACCTACATCAATTGTACCCTTTAGAGTCTACATTGAGAACACGATGAAATAAATTTTATAGTTGTGCAGTACCTATAATTATAAAGAAATATATATGTACATACGTGAATTACGCCGTTTAGATCGTTACTATATCGAGAATATAATGTTATTACAGTTATAGAGGAAAATATATGTGAACTTCCAGATCACTTTTGTAATGAAAGTAAGGTAAAGTTAAGTTTATGGTTCAATAGTTTCTAAATTCATAAAGAAAAATGTATGCAAATCTTCTGTACGTGATACTATGAACAAAGAAAATTCGTTGAATCTTAAATTACTTTTGAGACGATAATGGTTAAAAGTTATAAGATAAAGTGACTCCCTCGAGTGTAATTTTTGATGAAATGGGCGTAAGTTACGCTTTTTCTATCATTTTTCAAATATTTCAATTTTACTGCGGAAATTTATACTTAATAACTGTTATAATCGAAAAGAAACTTTTATCAAAGTTATACTTCAATACAATATTTCATGTACATAAAAAATTGTTTAATACCCGTATGGATTTCCTCAAAGTAGATACAATCAAGAAGTGTTACCAAAAGCTAGTTAACAACATTTGGTCATTAAAAGAGAAACGAAATTCACATTTTGAAAGAAATATCAGTTTTGTACTTATTCGTTATCCGAATTTGTACGAAATGAAATTATTATAAATTCGACACCACACTTCCAGTTCTAAAATTCATTTATCATTTTTATTGTGCATCTTTGGAAACAATAATTAAATATTCACGCAACGTATGCAACTAATCTTCGATAGATATGCCTCTATTAGCTGAAGATAATTAAAACACGCAACATTGTCGCCGAACCGCCTAATGTGTTCACACAAGTCCAGGAATAATTAATTTCACCGAGAAAACACAGTTTCGACTACAGCAAATGCGGGATACTGCTGTACGAGTCCGCTTAGAGCGGAATCCTCTCGCAAAACTCTACGAACGGGAAGCCCAAAGGTTCTGTTTCCGAGGTCGACAAAGTGGCGCATCGCCGGTACGAAATTAGCTTACGGATTCGCGATAAGCGGCTTACGGTTCGAGCAGGATAATCCCTTCGGCCGGTCTTCGATTCTTGATGGTCAAGTGAGTCCGCTTTGAACTTGCGACTCGCCAGCGCGCGCGCGCCTCGTGCTGCGCCGCGCTCGGCCCTGCTTCTGCGCTTTAAGAGTCACCACCAGGAATAACAATCTCGCCATCTTAATCGGGATGGAATTATTATTTCAGGCCAATGACCAGCAAACGTCCAATTCGAAAGCAGTTTCGACTATTCCGGGCCGCAGCTGGCCGCGCGAGAGCAGATGCGCTACCCGCACCGTTACATTCATAAATTACTACATCTCGAGTGGTTTTTATCAATATCCCCGGCGTGCACTTTTGATCACGATCCTGTTGCCGTTACTGTGAAGCTGCTACTATCCGCGACATTGACGGTTCGATCGAAAAATTTGTGTTTCAAATCCTTTCGTAATCGTTCTGAGCGCTGACTCGTGATGCGCATATAACAAGGGACATTACCCGAGTGTAACACGCTGATTTTAATGAAATTTACACAGTATATAGTTCATATTAAAATATTTCACATGTATTTTTTGATCTACCATTGTTCATATTCACGGGGTGAAAATAGCCTTCAAAGTTGGGAATGAAAATCATATTTCTTCGATAGGGTAAACCGAGGTAAATCGAATCAGAATAAGAGTATTGGCCGTATTTGGTAGGTTGTTATAGAATTGATTATGCTGACCGACTATATTGCTTTATACACCTTCCTCGCACCTAACCCAATACATCTTCAATTGTTTCAAACCGTTGTTCGCTGCCAGCATGTGTTAGAATTGAAGTACGCGAGTGCGAACGTAACGAATTCGTTGCTAAACCAAAATTCGTAGTTGGAACTTCACATTTAAAATAGCAAAGTAAGCTCCGAAATTCAAATGCACTTATTATTAGTCTCTAAGGTGTCCAAATTCAGTATTTAATGTACTTTAGATTATTATATTGCATTTTGCACCTAATTCACTTTGAAATCTCTAGAAACGGGGCCAATTGGATTATGTTCAGTGGGCTGCATCGGATCCCCGTTTTCGCTCATTTTCATATTTCTATGATTATAAACATCATAATTATTTACATATAGATAGCGTGTACATACAAAAAAAAGGAAAATTAGAAATTACGGAGCTCAGTAAAAAGGAAAAACGCAATAGTGAACTAACTCCAAAGAATTGACCATAAGTCAAGCTACGGAGATTTATCGCATACTTTATAAAACCCTACAAAAAAGACTTACTTATCGCATAAATAAGAAACCAATTTTACATTTGACATTACCTGTCAATAAAACGGTATTTCTTGAAAAACAATAAACGAAATTAAAAACTAGGTCAAAGAAGTACACTAATAAAAGTAGAAGGAAGACTAATAAGGAAAAATGAATGAATAATATAAATATAGGATCTTCCATAAAATAATATTGCACTTATTGCAATGAAAAATTTATTCACCTGCCTTCAGAAGTTTGGGTTCAATGCAATCTTTATGAAGAGTGCTGTCATGAAAACTGTGTCAATAGATACGATATAAAAAGACAGTATATTTGCGACCATTGTGTCAATAATTGATTTTATTATCATTAAATTGTACAGTGTTGGATTAAACAAAAATGTTTACAAAAATTGGGATTTTTTATATTTCTGAATAATCCAATTCGCCTTTGGGGCGAATATAAAATATAAACTAAATATATATTATATACATACAATATTTTCAGAGTTTTACCGATTTGGTTTTTGCTGTTAAATCCGAAGTGATCCAATTCGGTTCGATCTACCCTATATTTAAAATTATGTGTTTTAGACAAAAATTTTTAAACAGAAGTTGAGTGTCTTTTAATAACAGATTTAACTGACCAAGCGGTTTTTCACATTATTCATGTTTTTCTTGCAAATTCTTATACTATATTTGTAAAAATTGATTAATATGAATTTCAGACCAATTCCAAAGATGCAGATGCTTTGAAGTTTCTTATTTCATCTCTTCAATTGAAACTCGTTATACAATAAGCTCCGCAAGATAATTCTCGTGGGATAAAAAAGTTAGCAATGTGTATAATAGGTACATAATTGTAAAATTATACGATATTTCGCATAGTAGCGTTATGTTCTGCATTCTTACTAGTTGTAGATATTACTTTGCATAATAGGAATTCTATAATAAAAGTAGAATTCCTAATACATAAATAATTATTGTCACCAAGATATAAAAATTTATTTAAATATGTCTGGTACCATTGTAGCAATACAAATAATAAACTTAATAAATTTGATAATTCAGTTCGATTCTGTTTCAATGAACTAGAGAGTATAATTTATGCTCCATTTATTTATAGATATTACTTCAATAAAGTATTACCAGTGCAAAGAACACCTATGTTTAAGAGATACTTAACATGCGTTTAATAGTTCTATTTTTAAAATTAATAATTTTCGAGATACGGAGGTAAATATGATTTTCATTCCCAAATTTGGAGACCATTTACACTAAACCTAAATATGGACCATTGCAGATAAAAAAAATACGTGTAAAATATTTCTGTATATTTATACACTGTGTAAATTTTATTCATAATTTATTCATATTGGCGTGTTACACATGAGTAATGTCTCTTTTAAGTAGGTTATAAGTCATTCGCGAGTAATTAATTCAGACTGCGGATTTTATGCATTTATAACATATACAATTTTCTAACCTATCGTGTACTTAGAACGTTCTGATAATTTTTAAAGAATATTTTACTTTGTTTAAGATCGAATAAAATTATCGTTTCTTTTGTTTCTAACTTTTACTTATAAAATCAAGTTGAGATTATGGTGAAAACTTTAAATTAAGCGCACCTAAAACAAATTACATTAAATGTATGTAAATGTTATTCAGTTTACATGAAACCCAAAGAAAGATAACTCTTAGTTTATTTGTATTTAACATTTATGATAAATTTAATGTTGTAACGAGTACATAATAATTTCTAATCACGAAACAAATTGTAAGGTGAGAGATTAATGAAGAACAGAAATTCCCCTTTGATTTCAATCTTCTCAAATTACTGCAGGAAAATCAATATTTGCATATAGATCCGCAGTCCAGGAGTTAGATAATATTAGCGGAACAGGCTGGAGTGTGGGTACTCACCTCTTTCCCTTTGACATCTCTGTATCGAACCCACTTCTTCAGACGCGGTCGCCAATAATCGAGTAGATACGCCTCTGCAAACTCAACACCAAAGCCGTTTCCGAAACGGCCTTGAGTAGCGGTGGCTGTGATCAAATGAACCGTGTGAAGGTCGATCTCCAACCATTCTCGGGCTTCCTGGGTGATCTGATTCTTGGGACACCACGCGCCACCGAGATTCTCGACTTTTAATCTGGAACAGGTGAGAGGGTCGTTTAGTCATCACTTGTGATTTATCGGGAAAATGTACCCCTCATCAAACCCTTCCACTAAAGCTATATTATCTTTTCATTTTTAGAATTTAATCCTTCTGAATGAAACTTCTGTTTTTTATAATAAAACGTGCAACAAACTTTATATTATTTATAATTGAATAAGGTTTAGCTGTAGAATTTTGTATTCTTTACAATCAAATAAATTGTTAGTGGAAAAAAATTACGTTAAACGTTTTCATATACATATTTAAATTATATAAATGTTTGAAGTTTATTTATAATGTAGAGATTATTAAAATTACAGATTATTTTCTGGTTTTTATTATTTGACTTTTCAGGTAGAATTTTCATAAGATTCGCACAAAAGTTACAATTAATATGTATAGTTTATAATCGCAGACTTGTTAATTAGCTTCTATATGGCATGGAAGTGTAAGTAAATCAACGTTTGTACATTTTTCGGCAAATTTTTTGAGTCAGAAAGAAATATACGATTACATATATTTGCAGTATTATTTCAACTTATCTGAACGTTTTCACGCAGAAATCTCTATTCTTCGTTATAAAATATTCACAATTTTCATGGAAAATTCCTTGCGGAAAACAATAAAATCAAGTTATATTAGAAAATCGTCCGTAATAAGGGTCTTACGATGTTACCTGTTATTGATTACTTTCGAATACTGAAGTATTCTCATGTTGAAGGGAATTAGGACTTTTACCTCTCTTTTAAAGTAAATCTTATCCCAACATCTCCTCTGAGTAAGTGCTAATGAAATCGTAGCATTCTTAAATCTCAAGAGAGAAAGAAATAAAAAGAAATTAAACAAGATACAACTTCCAGGGAAGATCGTAAGTTCGGTAACGTTCCGAAGAATTTCCTCCACTTCAAGGCGAAGAATAATCGGGCTCAACATTCCTCGGGCCATTCCACGAACTTTAACGATTCGATCTATTCTCCGGACCTTTCGGGGATATCAGCTATTTTTCAACCGTACTCGCGATACTTTTCGTAACGTAACGAATTAATTAAACCGTAGGTATCTGTCGGTTCCCCGGCCCTCTCGCATCTTGTTCATCAAAATTTTTCGAAGTAAATTCCAATATCCCGAATACCGGGCTCGTCGGCAACTTTTAATATTTTCATTTTTCCAATAATAAATTTGAGAGCCCTCGAACCGGGAACTTCTTCAGAAGAACTTGCACCCTTGATCTTGCGTATCAGATTCGCGTTCAAAGCGGCCGGGGTAGAAAGAAACGCGAGTTCAGCCGCTTAATGAAATTCAGAGTGAGTAGATACCGCGAAATAGAGGGCTCTGCAAGTGATACTCCTGAACTTTTCGAATCACCTCTCTCACGTCAAACCTTGGTACGCTTCGGCCACGGCACGAACATTGCTTATCGCGATTTTACGATGTTAGAAAAAATGAATGAGATTATATATAATAGAATACTCTGTACATATTGATAAGATACTTAAATTGAGTTGAAAGATCTACTAACCGTACTTCACTTCTTTTAAAAGTTTCGAAACTTGGTTTAACCTTGTTCACTGTTCAAGAAATTGTTGCATTAAAATTCGATGAATCGAACTGGATGGACGTTGACATTCGATTAAAGAAAACGGTTTTCCGTGTAACTCGATTATATAAATATGACGTATTTAATAGCTTAGTAATAAATAGTTTATTAGAAGAAGTGACTGAAAAGCAAGAGGGGATTCTTGGATCAAATTAAACTGACTGGGTACAAGACAATTAACTTTAAACAATTTCTGTTAAAGATATTTATTATCCACAGCAGTAATGCAATTAACATGTATTTTTGTTCCCTTATGCAGACTTGAAATTCGATGTTAACACAGAAAACACAGAGAATTCAGTACAATTGCGAATTTCCCCCAAAAAACTGCGACGTTTCATTCGCGGAATACAATTTCCAAACTCTTAATCTCGTTTCCATGTTTCTGGGAGGAGGCGAGAAGTAATTTCAATCATCATTAAAAAACAAACAGCGGACGCCAGCATGCGACGCAGCTCATTTGAAATTAAAAACGAGTAGAATAATCATAACACCTTAAAATCTTCGCACCCTCGCGAAAGTTCCTCGCCCTTGGGACTAGCCGGCGGAAACTTTTCCGCAGCTTCAGATACTCTCATCGTTTCCCTTCGCTTTTCACATTTTCGCCGCTCGCCGCATCTGTGTCCTTTCAAATTCACGTTCATCGAACATTTTCCAACATTCGACAATAGATAACGGTATTCAGGAATATTGGTCGAAGTAGACCCCAGGTCCGCGTGTGCCGATTCCTACCACTGTCTCGCGGAACAATAGCGTCATAAACTTTTCCCATTGGGAGACACTCGCAAACTCGCCGTGGTCGGATCGCAACTTGACTATACTTTTTAATTAAGTTTTTCACGTGTGCCTCACGTCGAATGAAATATTTTCACCGTTACTGAAAATGGAAAAAGTTGAAATTTTCAAAATGCCCGTATCAAAATGAGAAAATCACATTATTCTCTACCTTTCCGGCGGTTGCGTCAAATTCTCGCAAGTTAGTTGCAAACGAGAACAATTGTTCGTAAATCAGACTAACCGTTCCCATTCCGTAACTATTATTACAATTATTGGCTACACTTCTACAATTACAGATACAAAGTATAAGATACAATTTAGAGTTGCTTGTTTATTATACCAGTAAATTTGACATTTCGGGGTCTATGGAATTCGTCTCTACCACCGCAACTGTAAACACTCAGAAATGTCTCTCGTTTAGAGTAAGCCTCCTACACGACAACGAAATGAAAATTCATCAAACATAGCTTGAATTGTACATATGTTGCTTTCCGTAGATGAAGTTGATGAAACAACAAAGTCATAAAATGTTGAGTTCGTCCTTAGTACTCAGAACGCTTAAATCACTCAATACCAACGCACCAATCAACAAGTAACTGTATCCGTGTCCCACAAAGCATCAATCCCGATCCTGACGCCCTGAGGATGGTTAAAACCAACAGGACCTTATACAGGTACCAGAGAAAACCGAGAAGAACAAGTGAAAAGAAAAGAAACAATCAAGAAGACACGGTCATAAATTACAAGAGAAATGATAGGGCACGGGTACGGCAGGGTAAACGACAAGTAACCAAAGAACCAGGTATTACCTTGTCGAGAGAGGCGATACGAGACGAAAAACGAACCAGAAAAGGGTTAGAATGGGAGCGGTCCCGGTCGGAGGGCCGCGTGTCCCGGCGGCACAGGTGATGCCGATCGAAGGTGCAACCTGGCCATTTAATATGTCCAGGTTGTAGCCGGGGCCATCGGCCTTTGCCGTGCTTCGGTTTTAATCTTTGGGGGGTCGAAAGCAACGCGCGGAGAGCCCGGCCCCGGAGTCGGCATGAATAAAACATGAGGCGCGAAGCGCCTTCCCTAATTGCGTGGACCGTTTAAATGCTTGGCTAAGAGAGAAGCTTCTCGTCCTCGTAACGCCATGCTGTATACCTATATACCATGTTGGTATATCTTTTAGAAGGTGCGAGCTGAATGGCGCAGAAAATGGGGAGGGGGTAGGGTTTCAGGGGGATGACAGGGTGGGACCCAACGTCTTGAGGGTTTAAGCGGCCGGGGGCTCGAGTTTGTTTTAGCGTCGTGCATTATTCTTCATTACCCGAATATTTCGAGGCGCGCCTTAACAACGTGTACCACGGGAATATTTACGCTACCCTTAATTGTCACGGGGGACTGTCGCGTCGCGTTCTCGCGATTACGATACGGATAATTCGATTTTCCCAATTAAGGACAAATTTCGAGGTTAGGCTGGGCGGGGTCCAATCATCGCGCGATTTTCGAGATGGAATTATGCCTCGGACTGATTCTCGCCCTCCACAGTTCTCGGACGACCTCCGCGGTCTGGTAATTCGCTCCTCTTCGAGGCGGAGCCCCGAAACTAAACCTCGAACGGTTCATTAAGTTTTTCGCTGTTTCGAAATCTGATTACGACAGCGACGCGTTTTCAGAGATTTTACGATTCGCCTCGCGCGTGGAAGTTGCTGATTTTAATAAGCTTTATCCGCAGGGAACTTGGAAGGAAAATTGGGGGACGGTTGGTTGGGGCTTTGGGGAGTGCTGGCGGAGGTGTTCGGTGGTGGAGATATGGCAAACGGCGTTTCTAACCCTGATTATCGTAATGAACGGAAGATATTTTCAATTTAAGAAGAACGATCTATGCGTTATTAAACTGTTTAAGGATTAATCTTGAGTCTTCCTCGATTATGTTTAACGCGTAGACAAAATTAAACTCGAGCTGGTCTTTAATATCGCTAATTTATATATTAGCAAAGTGTATGCTAAAATATTCGTGTCTGCAATAATATAGAATGTAATGTACTTAATAAAGTTTGGTAGAAGTTTAGTTTTATTATTAAATTTTGAAAGTTTATATTTAACATTTAGACATACACAGAGTTCTAAATGGTTAAAATAATCGTCAATTTTCAATAAGGTATTTGATGACTTCTTGATTTTGTACACCGAAGTCATAATATGAAACACATATGTTAAAGAAAACTTACATTAGTGCATTAATGCAAAGTAATTTTAGCAACGTAGTTACGTAACGTAATTAAGTAAAATAATGGACTTCCTACTTTAAATTCTTGTTATCCTTTTTTGTATAAACATTAGCTGCAGCCAACAACCGTACAATCTAAAGATACAGTTAACCGCTAAAATAACGGACACCTAGAATAGATTATAAAATACAAGACTTTTCAACCCACTGTATTATCTATCATATTATTATAAAAAAAGAAGTTCCATATTCAAGTCACTTTATTCCACGTCCGCAAGCCATCACAGACAACATTCACACGAGACCTAAAGGCGATACTTCTATCGGCCTGCACAGAACATTGACACCCTTATCTACTACAGATTGAGGTGAGTCCAGTTTATCTAAACTCGTTTCACCTGACCG